TCTCATTCTTGTACAGTCGAAGAGCAGCTCATGATTTTCTCTTGCAGATATGATATATATGGATGTTGTTGATGAGTGGAATTTTGAGCAGTCGAATAAGTCTTCATTTTATTTGGAAATTGGCTCCGTGTTTGTGATGAAGCAATCAGGTAGTTTATTTGTTGTAATTTTTGCATTGTGTTTTTGATAGAGTGGAAATGTAAATCATCCCTCCCTACTAGGGGTGGAAATCACACGGAACGGCGTTTTTTAAAATTTTCAATTTTTTTCGCAAGGTAAAAATAGGTTCTAATTTCCGTTCCAAAAAAATCGCAATTGAAAGATCCATTCCGATTTCGGAATGATTTGGAATCGGCAGAATTTTGAAAATTTTGGAAATTGCATTAATTAATAACTTTTGTTTCAAAATCGAATATAATAATAACTTTTCGTAATTTTGTTGGAGTTTTTTGGTAAAATGCAAAATATCTGAAACAAAGTTCAACAAAATACATATATATAAACACTTGTAAGAACAACATAAGCACTTCAACAAAGCCAACATGGTTCTTGGCTTCTTGCAAAACATGCATAAAAGAATTCGACATAGTTAAAGAATATTTTCGGAACGGAATCGGTGGAATTCGAAAAAAATAAATAAACAAACAAAAATTGAAAAGAGTAAAAAGGAAAAAGGAAAAAGAAAAAAGAAAAAAAGAAAGTATATTTAGTATTTACAAACAATTTTGTGCCGGAACAGTTTCTGAAAAAAACGAAATTGGGATGATCGAGCAATTATTGAGGTTAGAAGATTTTTTGGTGAAAAAATCTCAGTTAGACATGGTTCTTCTGTTTCAATTAATTACTAGTTTTTTTTAACATCATTATATTCTCCCAGAAAATACATTATTTATTTTGGAAATTCGATAATATTGATGAAATGCACTTGTTTGTGTATAGTACTGGAGTTTATTTGTACATCAATCTTGGCCTTTAATGTATGTATTATTGTGAAGATGCTCGGTGGCTGTTTAGTTGATTACCTTAATCAAAGGTCGCCTGCGTAATCCGTATCTTTTCATTTGACTGGCAAGAAAAAGAACTTGTTCGATCTACAACTCTTTGTTTAATCCGATCCACACATCATTTTCCGTGTTTTCACTTATAAATATAAAAGCACTCGTCATTCACATTCACCATTCGCCGTTTGGGTTTGGCCACATTATGCAGTACCCAATCTAATTCTGAAATTCATTTCCCACTACTATGTACGGTTGTCGATACTTAGTGTTCTTTGCAGCATAATCTAGCGTTTTGATATCCGTTTGTGGATAGTCTCACACCTGCAGTTCATCACTTTTTCGATTGATCTCATCTTGATATATATATGGGCACGCTTATTATTGTTCCTATGATGTTGTTGCCTTCAAATACACTACATACTGAAATGCACACGAGTCTAAGATGTAATTCTTTGGTTTTTGTAAATACCCTCGATCATAAGTCGTATAATTTTAAACTTTTCTCACAAATACAAGTTTTTTGTTCCATTTTCAGGCAGAGCTAGAGCTGACAAAGAAGCAGGTATTTACTTTCATCTGTAAGATTTTCATTATTGCATTACGAGTGCTACTTAATTAGGATAAACTGACTCGATTGAATATCGAGGGAGGAACAACCATGAATTTATACCTGGAGCACGCAACGTAACCACAAGATCAAATAATACCAATTCTTTTTTATTCTTCAATTAATTATATATATTATATTTCGCACAATTAATTTTAACCAATCACTCTTACAGCTCTATTTCAGCCATTTGGAACTATTTTTTTTTTATTATATTATAACTTCCAGTAGATGTAATGTGATCAAAAATAATTTCAAATATTGTTCTTGAAATTGACCGTATAATATAATTCTATTACCACCCATACCTTTTTTTTTTTTTAAATTCTTTGAATAAAAAGCAGAAGCCATGCACAATATATATGACAGGTGTAACTTAACAATTATAAACTAATTAGAAAATCAATCAAATCACAATTTTGTTGCATAATTAGAGGTAGAAACGGTTGAGTCTTAAACCATATCTTTCCAATTATAGGAAAAAAGAGAGAATTGATTTTAAAAACTCTTTAATCATTAATGACTTTCCAATCTAAACATAAGAATCTTCAATTACATGCCCATTGTTGTTTTTGAACTTATTAGACAAAATTTTAATGAAATATGAATTCACTCAACATAGGTAATCTTCAAGTTGGTCGTCTGTCCAAAACCTTCAGCGCATCCTCTAGTTAAGGGCGCTGATGCATAGATCTTTCCTTTGTATCCATACTTCTTCACCAGATGTTCGATGAAAAATAGCTCCTTCAATGATGTGGCCATGAGAGAAGAGGATCCAGCTAAAAACTTCTTACGCATTATCAGCTTGGACTTGGTAGATTTGATGAATTCTTTCCGATGTTCCAAAATCTCCACCCATAGTGCAGCAATTTCCAAATCATCTTCAATCATTTTTCACCTGATATGAAAATATATAACGTCAAAACAGAGAGATGGTTCTGTTATTTGAGACAATGTGGCGCTTAAACCAAATCTTAAACCCCTCTTTTCCCCTTTTCTCAATGTCATCTAGCAGCATATACATACAGCTCCTAATTGTCCAGAAACTGCTTTACTATTATGTGTAGTTTTACAGGTTCTAAAAGAAATAAAAAGTACCAAGTACAAAAACAGAATGATAGATCGGCAACGTATAGCACCAAAACGATCATCTCAAGTGTTTTCATAATAGATATACGAATTCTTCAAAATATAAAAAATAACAATTTCAAACATATGTATTTTTCTCTTATTTTAATATAATCTATTTACTACATAGCAAGTCATGCAAAATGTATATTTCCAGAATTTTGCACTTGCATACATTCGATACCGTACCCTAAAACTGTAACATCATTCATGAAATTGATTTTAGCAGATGTATATGTCATTGTAAAACTTATGATAATAGATGCATAATGATCAAACTAGTCAAGTTAAAAACTCAAAAGAAATATGAAGTTCAATACTAATCTCCTTCCTTATCACAGCAGAGAGATGGTTCTGTTATTGGCAGCAATCCTACTTCAATTCTTCATACAAGAAAAATGCAATAAAAAGCCCATGTTATATACAAGATTGTTAGAAAAATTATGTAATTACACTAAAGTTGAACACAAGATAAATGATGAAAGGATATCTTGTTCGCAAAACAAAGGAAAATCCTTACAACAAAAGGTATTTCGCTAATAGAGGATTGTGCATGTGCTACACTATTGTTAGACTTGATGAAAGAAGGAAGCACATCGTTTTTTAATGATTACAGTGTTTCACCAATCATTAGACCGATTCTTTTGTGGGGCAGCGACTCCGATAGCCATGGTCGGAAATGATATCAGGGGAGTTTCGATAACGAAAGCAGCGAAAACTGATGAGAACTAAGTCTTACGCCAAGATTTAGTTTGTGGAGGAGATGTGGGCGTTTTAAGTTTAGGCTAAGGTTGATCAGAAAGAAAGATTAGACTGATGATTAGGGGTAGAATATTTTTTTGATATTTTCTTTTATAACAACCATTTACATCAGAAACAGAGGAAACCCAACAAATATGTCAAGTTGGTTTTGATCTCTGCTCCTAATGAACTTGAAAAACTGGTGTTGCACAAATGGACCCCATAAGTACACCTGTTGAGGTTTCGGATCTTTGCCTCGACCCATTTTGCAGTGTCCAGGGGACGAAAAAATGGTGGATTCGGTTAACAACTAACTAGCATATCACAATGACAAAGTTAGCTCACAATTTCTCCAACTTGTGTTCCTTCGCGGCCATATTTAGTGGATTTAAAGAAGAAACATATCGATTAAGCATCACACCACATGTTTGACAAAATGTCAATTCCAAAAATTGAGTGTAAAATCTACTCATACACACACTGGCACACATAAACATGAAAAACAGACACACAAGTGGAATATCATACTGATTTCGTCAATTACGTACAATTAATTATCGGCTCAAGTGTGATTGTTGATTGAGGGTTAGGTAGAGACGTATACGTCATATTCGTCGCTAATGTAAAAAAATAAATTGCAAAAAAAAAAAAAAAATCGTGCGTCGTTTATATAAATACGTCGCTAAGAGAGGACTTTTTTTCTTTCCGTTTGCGACGTTTTTGGGCATATAGTCGCCAATTGGCGACGATTAATATTATCGTCGCGAGATTTCCACCGAAATCTTATTTTTCGACAATTGGCGACGTTTTTCAATAAAAATCGTCGCAAGTTTGGGACTATATCTAAATCGTCGCAAAAAAAAAACGTCGCCAGTGAGCTGTTTTGGCCTAGTGCTAGTAACTTGGTAAAATTGTTTGATAGGAGTATATTTTAACGTCCCGATTTGTTCATAATTGAGGCATGTGATGGTTGATTATCTTAAAATTATTCAAAAAAATCTTAAAATTACTATCGAACAATGATCAAATCATGTACATGAATATAAATATAATTTTATTATTTCACAATCAAAATCAATTATTATGTTAAAATCAATTATTATGTTATTATTGAAGTGAGATTTTAGTGAGTTACATGAATATAAATATTATAATTCTTTTGCTTGGTCTAAGTTTTTTATCTAGGTATAAAACAAAGATTTTATGGTAAAATTGTTTGATAGGTTCTGAGGTTTATTTTCCTCCCTTATTCAATACCCAATAATAATCAACCGACCACTATGCATGCAATATATAGTAATTAGTATCCTAATCAAGCTCGTAATTCTACTTAATTAATCGCAGAGTCCCGATTCGATCAAAATTCTGTTTCCTTTCAAATTAAAGTATTCATCATAACGTATATATATATATATATATATATATAAGAAAAAGATTACGCAGGCAGGCTAGGCTAGGCTGTTCATAGTTGATACATACTTGTTCACATTAATTAATTGTAATAAAAATCGAGCAACAATATAATGAAGAACGTCCTCTCCACTCGGGTGAATCTGCCCTACTTGGAAGAACTAGGATCTACTGATGAAGAATATTTCGAAGATGAGTATATAGAGTTTTTGCAGGAAGAGAAATTTCCCAAGTATGTAAGTTTGGTTAATGATATATTGGATTCGTACGATGATGTGGAGAATCTGAAAGAATTCACTGTCGATGTGCCGTCTTTCGAGGGAGGCAACCCCGAGAGGTGGTTCGAATTTGCATTATCATCAACAAAGATCGAAAGAATCGAAATAAACCTGACTTATTTCTTCAACAGCGACAGTGGATTCTACACTTTTCCGAGGCTAATTGCGAACATGGCCGGTCTACCGGGGCTCAACTCCCTTAAGGAATTGTGTCTAAAATACATTCATATAGATGATATGGATTTCGATTTTTTGGTCACGAAATTGGTTTCTCTTGAGAAACTGTCCATCGAAAACAGCGAGAGGTTGAAGAAGGTGGTGGTTAATGGAGGAGTAGAAAAGTTGGAGGAGTTGGAGATATGTGACTGTTTGTACCTCGAATCTGTTGAGGTTTCCAATGTGATGAACCTTGTTTGTTTAAAGTGTTGGGGATCAATGGAATATAAGTATATTCTAAGGCTCCATAATGTCCCCAAACTTACTCACTTCCAAACTTCGGGCAACCTCACAAACTCAATCGAACAAGTCTTATCTGGAATTTCGGTATCCGTACGCGATCAATTGCTGCGCCTTAAGCTCGCAACCAACCCCTTGTGTATGTCGGTACGTAAATCTCCCTCTCTCTCTCTCTCTCTCTCTCTCTCTCTCTCTCTCTCTCTCTCTCTCTCTCTCTCTCTCTCTCTCTCTCTCTCTCTCTCTCTCTCTCTCTCTCACACACACACACACATACATGTTTGAGTTAAATTTTAATGTTCATGTCAATTTCAGATCCGTGATATTCCCAAGCTAAAAAACCTAAAACATATGGAGCTGCTAATTGACATGCATGAGAGAGATTCTGCATTTTCATTCTTTCAACTAATTGAGGCATGTCCTCTTTTAGAGAAACTCGAGGTCAATGTACGTATGTGCTATATATATATATATTTATTTTTTCTTTCATTTATTTGAAAACAATGAAAAAAAATTATATATATTTGGCAGTTTTGGGGGTACCGGTGTGATATGGTGAAAGATGGAGAACCTGAAGAGTGGTATAGTCAGCGACATAAGCATCTCAAAACGGTGACGTTTTCGGGATATGTGGGGTGGCCAATTGAACTTGAATTCGCTATATATATATTGAAGAGTGCTGTAAGACTGGAAGAATTTATCGTTGAATCTTGTGATAGATATGATACAGCCAAGAAAGAGGCTGCTGCAGCTCATGCGCGGGAGAAATTTCCACCATTGTTACGTAAATTTAAGCCATTCTTTGTTGTTCAACCGGAATCGCCTAATTTGCATTATGTGGCGAAGAAGAAATTAGCTATTTAGTTTTTTTTTTTCCAATTTTATTTACTAGGAAATTAAATCTTCCTTGATGGCTTTCTTTATTGATTGTTATTTATTAGGCTTGATAAATTCAGATGCATAAAACTTGGGAAGAAACTTACATAATCATGACTTGATAAACTTTCAAGTAAGTTTTTAATCAGCATATATATCATTTAATTTGCCAAAGAAGATGTATGTTTCCTCGTTGATCATCAATCCATCATTATCCATGTCTTCGAAAATAAAAATATTGACAATAAGAAATCAATGGACAAATAAGTACAGCTAAGTAAAAAAAGTTTATTTTTTAATGTAACATCTAGAGCAGCAGCTGATGAAATAAATATGGTAAAAGCAGGGGACTTTTTTTCCACAATTTTCATTGCTTTTTCAACCTTAATCCCCTGTTACTGTACAAATTGTTGTGTTTGGGGTTTGGATTTGAAGGAAAATATATACCGAATTAAGATTAAACGACTGTACGTAGAGAGGGTCGTGATTTCCTGTGGTGGTGAGAAAGTGACACGACGTTGGTAGTATGGTGGAGGTGGTGCCCTCTCGTTTTTTCAGACCGACGATGGTGATGGTGTAATCGTTCTATAAGAGGTGGATCAACATTTTCGTCTCCCGTTTCAGACCAAAAGAAGTGGAACATGGTAAGAAGTTGTTAACGAGAATTCTTGGAATTTTTTAGAAACCTTGTATTTACAACTTTCTAAAATATATATACCTAGAACTTTAGTTGGAGTTCACTAGAGTCCGTCGACCCTAGTCAATCATCACCATCCGTACAGAGTAGTCAATCATCACCATCCGTGTAGACAAGTGAAGAAGTATAAATATCACCTTATACTTCACTTCAAATCATCCCACACATTCTCACTTACTCATCAATAATGGAAGACAATAGTTTTTACGACGAGTTAGCTGCCAGCGCCTTTGAAACCGACGACGATGAAACTGAAGATGAGCAAACTGCCGATGAAGAGGAAACTGAGGATCATGAGGAGCCCGACGACGAGGAGCCCGACGACGATGACGACGAGGAGCCCGACGACGACGATGATGAAACCGACGACGAGGAAATCGAACCGTCCGATGAGTTTTACATAGAGATGGTAATATTAGTTAATTTTCATTTCTTTATAGTTATTCATTTTAAGTTAACCTTTCTATTAATACACTGTTTTTTTTTTTTGAGTAGGCTAGAAGAAAGCTCGAATACTTTAGGCATGCTGTTGGGGATGAGGACTACATAGCCACCCTAGAAGAAAAATATGAAAAAGATGAAGAGGAAGCAGCTGATTTCTTTGAGTCATTGCCAAATATAACTCCGATTACGATCACCAATGACAGGGAATTGGATGGTCTTGCGGCCATCCTGGGCAGAAAAAAAAACTGGAAAGGAACTGTTATAGTTGTAGGAGAAGTTGGAGGGGATCTGTGGAATAGTGTAATGGTAGTTGTTAGACGATGGGATGGTAAAAGAAGGAATGGAGTGAAAGTGAGGGCCAGACCATGAGTTATCCGCTTTAGTATTTTTTTTTCTTTTTCTTTTTATTTTTTACTTTTAGATTAGGATTTTTTTTCCATTTTCTTTTTGTTGGTTGGGGTACTCTTTCCTTGTTAGGTCAACCAAGGTTTTAACGGGGCCTCAATATTGATAAAATATTTTTTTTGGCCAAAAAGGATAGTTTTTTTTTTCATTTCTTAACCTCTCTTGTTGTTTAGAGTATTGTGTAATTAATTTCCAGGAATATAAAAATTAACTAAAAAGAAAAATAAATATTATAAATAACATGACAGAAAGGGTGGCAACCAACAGAATCAGAAGTAAGGAATTTCAGAATTAAAAATGGAGGCTGATCTGTAAGTTTAAATCCACATTTATTTATTTATTTGTTGTCTGTTATATTTTGAAGATTTGGCAACCGTTGTTTGGGATGACATCTTGAGTTGGATTCACAGCAGAAAATTTTCTATAAATATCGAAAAGTTTAATTGAGAAAAAAGGTGGTGCTTTTCTTTTCTGTTGTTTCTGGAGCCAAGGTACTATATGTATATTATGTTGTTAATGAAACCAATTTTTAAATGGCTATATTTGCTTTTTCTTTCTCTATTCTTCTAGACATCTTGAAGAAATACTGTCATTATGCTTTATCTTGATACTTATTTTGAATTAGCTTAGTCTTTTGTTTAGTAGTACTTGCCAAGTGTTTAGAGTAATCAAATACATGTAGCCTTAAAGAAAACGAGAGACTTAATAACGTGTCCCTTGTCTTTGCAGTGATCCAGGGAAGTATGTGAGAACGTTGCTCCTTTCAGTGTCAACCATGCTACATTTGGAGCTCCATCATGTCATGTTTTATCGAAGATTGATTTGATTGAAAGCTATGGAAAACTAGTTTTGAGCACTGATACTTTTTGCAAATATTCTTTGATTCTTAATTTTTTGCATATTTTTTCATTTGTTTTGCAGCTTTCAACCTTGACTTCTACACTCATGTACAAGATTTAAACTATTTACAGTATCATCTTGAATATTTTTGAATTTCGAGTAAATGAAGTTGTCTGATTCTTGTTCAATGTTTTTTTTCTTATAGATAATGTGGGGTCACTTATATCTGCAGATAAAGTTGGGAGAAATCGATTATGAGACATCCATACGTTGTTTGATTACATAAGGTAAGGCTCATAATCAAGAGCATCGAGAGCAAGTCTGTATTAAGTTGTAGCAAGTCATACGAAGATCTTGGAATTCATAACAGGTGGTGAATTGTTTGATATGTTAAACTTAGTAAAAAGGACTGTTATTTTCATAAACCTAAAATTACTTGTCTGAACTTTTTTTTGGCCCAATTTTCTGACTTGCGTTAAAGGCTACCAGAGTAAAGCCATGCGATACTAGTGATGCTTGCTGGATTGATTAGGGCATTGATTGTTGTATCATAAAGAACCATTTATTTATTGGTTATCGAAAATCACATTGATGGATTTGCAACCACTTGTAAGTGAACTTTTGGTATCTTCTTACCAATGCCTTGTGCAATATATATACTGGTTTATTTACAATTATGGAATATATTTTTTGGCTCAACAAAACTAAAAGAGAGGCAGGCGAATGGCAGTTAAGCCATTTTCGTTGTGCACATCTCCTGATTCTTTATAATTTGGAGTTTAAAATCATATCAAGAAAGATTAACGATCGAAGAAACATTTCTTCGTATGGTTAATATATTGAATTGAAGTAGCAGACTCTGCTCAAGCTAATTTTTTTTTAAATGTGGTAATGCAGGTGGTGGGGGTTTCTGATTTGGGTAATCTTGCTTGCTAATAATGATGATCTAGAGAGAGAGAGAGAGAGAGTGTTTTGAAACTAAAGTACGTACGACTATTTGCTCGCAAGACCCTCGTTTCTGCTTATTACAATCCTATGGAACACCTCTCGGACCTGCCTCTCCAACGGGTCCAATCCATCCTTCGTACACAATCTCAACCTCCTCAACTCTCTTCCTAACTTCCCTCTCCTTTTCTTCCGTCAACGGGAACTTAAACCGAATCCGTCAGCTCGTTCATATGCCTCGCGCATATTTCAATATCACGAATATCCTTCAACAACCCGCACGTTTTTCTCCTATCCCGTTTCTTAGACTCCTCCAAAATCCTATCGTACAGCCCACGTAAGCTGACTCGAAACATTGAAATGCGTCTGAAGGCCACGATATTGACACGGGATCGCAGCCACAAGAGCCCACATTACAAAGAAGAGCATGTAATTCATTGTGAAAACAGCTAAATTAAGTCCATTTGTGGATGTGATCTCGTTGGCTCTCGGTGCGACTAAGTTGTTGCCAATTGCTAGCAATTGTCGAGCGGCTGACCAGGACCTCGAGACACTCCAAGAAAGCGACCTCAAGTGCCCAAACGACTTATGCTCTGTTTGTGCAGTATGACGCCCAAAAGACCGATTTCTATGCGCGACTGTCGTGTTAGACTCGCATTGAGATCGCCAAATCGACTAACGCCTTCTTTGCGCGACGGAACTGCCCTTCGTTGATGATCTTATTACGATTGGCGAAAGCGCACACGACTATCTCGAGATGCTTCTGCCACTGCCTGATCTGCTCAATCCCGTCGCGAATGGCATTATTGACGTCCAAAGCTTTGACGCTCCTCTCGAAGAAATCGGAGATGTATCGGTCGGTCCATTCAAATTGGTCCTGTTGTTGGAGACGATTACTCGGAACTCCTCTTGGCAAGAGAGGAATGCTTCTAGAAGGTTCCGGATCCACGGGATAGAGAGGAGCTCGTCGCCGCCAAATCATGGAAACGATCGGATACTTTCCTCTTGGACGGTGGATTCGTGTGTGGGGTCCATTGAATGGACCTGATCACGGCGTCTGCTCGGAATGGAATGGAGAATCCTCCGAAGATGTCTCTTGGAAATCTGGCATATCTCGTTTTACATGTAATAAAACAAATCACAATTGCGGTTCAAACCCAAATCCTAAACGGAGCAGAAATGACATGACGGACGCTTTGGCACCGACGATTGGAGCAAAAATACAATGAAATTTCAAAACCCAATTACAGAAGAAATCAAATTGGTACAAGATACAGAGCAATCTAGCATAAAAAGTTGGTCGATTGATCGAAATGAACGATCAAAGATTTGCTAAGAACCCAAAAACAAAAAAGCTCAAGACTCAAACTTTACACATCAGAATGAAAATCCCAACAATCTTGCAATCAAACGAGTTATAAATATATAGATAATTAAAACTAAAAAAATCATTTAATAGTGTTTATCTCATTGGATTACATACTTCTAAGTCAAGAAATATTATGTCAATTATACGTTTAAAACCATGCTACACACACACTATTATGCATGGGTTAAATAAATACTATCGATCATTATTTCAAAAAACAAATTAAGCGATCAACCTCCATTGAGAGAGTTGGTACATAACATGTACCATTAGGTAGAGTTATATATGTCCATATTTCTCCAATTGTAACAGGATTTTAATTTAAATATTCATATTAAAAAAAAATTAAAAATAAAAAAAAAATTAAAAGAGCCCTTTCAACTAGAGATGGACCTTATGATAGCCTGTAATTGGGAAACAAGACAATTAAGAGTCCATGCATAATTTTGAATTTCCCGCGTTTAATTTGAATAAAGCGCCAATAAATAATTTGGAATTTCCAAGCACTACTCCTCACATGCTATTTGCTTCAGTTTAACTCTAATAAATCATTAATAATATTCATGTTATCCCAGGTTTATTGGGATTCATAAACCACAATTACATAATTCAAATATTGAATTATGTACAATATTTTTTCAACTATGTACAATGTCTCAATCAATATTATTATTTTAATTCTCGTATAATAAAATATATTACTATTACATAACTGTCTTAAATACTCGTTATATTTGTTATGTTATATTTGTTATGTTAAATTGAACTTACTACCCGTTAGCCCGCTTGAGTTCAATTTGTTAATATAATAGAAGAAGCTTGAACTCATGTTTTTTCGTTACATAAGCTAGCAAATTCAACTCGAGGTTGATTCGTGTATGACTCAATCAATCACTTTTCGTTTTTAGTAATCATTTTTGCTTGCACTAAAAGTTGTTGCGTATATATTACTAGAAAGGAATGTGTGTTACGTATATTGTTGTTTTTCGATAATTATTCAGTTAAGTCTCTTTAGTCACAATTTTGTGTAATGTACGTGTATATATATGGTTGAGCCTCGATAAATTAATAATTTCGCTTAAATAATAATTTATCTCGATCCCGACTCGTAGTAAATTCAATATATTAAATTATTAATTTGATTATTTAATAGGCTGCACCTGTTTGCAATCTCAAAATTTCTAAGCGCAAGACCTTACTTCATGCAAGACCAAAATATAAATAAATTTACTAAGAGCAAGACTGGAAATTACAAATATGACCCCAATATTAATTTTGATATTATTAATTAAAAAAATGCCTAATTGCTATTGCAAGACCAAAAAAATAAAAATGAAAAATGACCATTCTTCTTCACCAACAAAACCCAACATCTTCCCAAAAAAAACTCTTTCATATTCTCAAAAAATCCTCATCAAACAAAACCCTCAAATCTTACTAAAACTTGAAAAGAACGACTTTATGGACACACGAAACATTAATATGAATGATTCTAAGGTCGAAGAACACAACGACATAAGAAATGTTGTACTTTATTTAGGTTTGTGATCGTTTTTTCGTTTTTCGAAAATAATTTCGCGTACACAAAAAATTGATGTTTACAGGTCGATATTTAGCAATAAAAACGATATTACAACGTCGATTTTCTCAGTTTCTGAAAAATCGACGCCAGCATGTCGTTTTAATTGATAAAAATCGACACACTGGTGTCGAATTTTGAACAAAATATCGACACACGAATGTCGAAAAAAATACAAATAATTGACAACAGCTTATTGTCGAAATTTAGTGAAAATTTTGACACCAATGTGTCGAAATTTTACGAAAAAATCGACAAGTACAGGTCGATATTTTTAAAACCACAATTCCTTCAACAATGGTGGTGGAATCTAACCCTAAAATCATACCCTATGTTCTAAATGGACTTGTGGCGACTGTTGACTGCAACGGCGGTGGTGGTCGACTTCACCAATTTTGACCCGCCACCACCGGAGACCGCCGGTCGCCGCCGTTAACCGGCGTTGACCGCCGTTGACTTTTTTTTTTTTTTTTTTTGAATTTTTTTTTTCCTGAAATTTTTTTCCAGCCGGTCAACTGTCGTTGACCGCCGGGTCTCCGAAGTTGACTTTTTTTTTCTTTTATATAATTTTGTTTTTTCTTAAAAAAACTATTTTAATTAATATTACTGTCTTGTCTGCTAAATTGCTGTCTCCGGTAGTTATTTAACTGTCAGAGACAGTAATTTAACTGTTAATTAACTTTTTTTTGTTTTTTTTCTTCAAAAATATTTTAATTAATATTACTGTATTCGTTGCTAAATTACTGTCTCCCGCAGTTATTTAACTGTCGGAGACAGTAATTTAACTGTTAATTAACTTTTTTATTCTTAAAAAACATATTTTTAATTAATATTACTGTATTCGTTGCTAAATCACTGTCTCCGGCAGTTATTTAACTGTCAGAGACAGTAATTTAACTGTTAATTGATGTTTTTTTTTAATTTTTTTCCTTAAAAAACAAAAAGAAACAAAAAAGAACAAAAAAAGAAAAAAAAAAGAAAAGAAAAAAGAACGCAGGCAGGCTATTAATTATTACCACATGAGATCTACAATGCTCTCAAATTTCGAAATCATTTAATAGATGGGGTAATCACAAAAAACCCATGACAAGGGCACTTAATTAAAAGAGGGACATCCAACTTTTTTCTCTTTTAAATAAATCCACCCCATTCAAACTTATTTGCAAATAAGGAAAATTCCTTTGTATATACTAAAATTACCCCCAATTCATTGAAACCCAATTCAACTCCAATTTCATGATTTACACCCCAATTTAGCCCAATTTCATCAATTATCCAATTTTAACCCTAATTTCAATTTTGACCCAAATTTTAACCCTAATTCTTATCAATTCCACCCATTATGCTCTAACTTCTTAAATATTACACATTGACCCCGGATTTAAACAAATATATCACATTAACCCCCAAAACTTTTTTTTTTCAGAAAATAAAGTTTTTTTCTGAAATATTTTTTTCCGGCCAGATTCCGGCGTTGACCGCCGGTCTCCGGCGTTGACTTTTTTTTTTTTTCTTTTTTGAATTTTTGTTTTCCTGAAATTTTTTTCCGGCCGGTCAACGGCCGTTGACCGCCGGGTCTCCGGCGTTGCCTTTTTTTTTTTTTTTTTTTTCTTAAAAAAAATATTTTAATTAATTTTACTGTCTTCGCTGCTAAATTACTGTCTCTGACAGCTATTTAACTGTCGGAGACAGTAATTTAACTGTTAATTAACTGTTTTTTTTTTTTTTTTTCTTCAAAAATATTTTAATTAATATTACTGTATTCGTTGCTAAATTACTGTCTTCAGCAGTTATTCAACTGTCGGAAACAGTAATTTATCTGTTAATTGACTTTTTTATTCTTAAAAAAAATATTTTTAATTAATATTACTGTATTCGTTGCTAAATTACTGTCTGCGGCAGTTATTTAATTGTCGGAAACAGTAATTTAACTGTTAATTGACTTTTTTATTTTTAAAAAAAATATTTTTAATTAATATTATTGTATTCGTTGCTAAATTGCTGTCTCCAGCAGTTATTTAACTGTCGGAGACAGTAATTTAACTGTTAATTGACTTTTTTTTTTTTTTTTAATTTTTTTCCTTACAAAAAAATTTATTTTAATTAATATTACTGTCGGATGTTATATTACTGTCTCCAACATTAATTTAACTGTTTTAGACAATAATATTAATAATATTACGGTTCGGAAAAATAATATTCATAATATTACTGTCCCAAACAGTAATATTACTGTCAGAGACAGTAATTTAGTAGTCAAGACAGTAATATTAATTAAAATATTTTTTTTCTAAGAAAAAAAAATTCAAAAAAAAAAATCAACGCCGGAGACCGGCGGTCAACGGTGGTTGACCGGCCGGAAAAAATTCAGGAAAAAAAAATTTCAAAAAAAAAAAAAAAAAAAAAAAGTCAACGCCGGAATCTGGCCGGAAAAAAAAAACATTTCAGAAAAAAAATTATTAACTGAAAAAAAAAAAATTGGGGGTTTATGTGATATATTTGTTTAAATCCGGGGTCAATGTGTAATATTAAGGAAGTTAGAGCATAATGGGTGTAATTGTTAAGAATTATATTATTGAGGGTATTTTAGACTAAAGACATGGGGATGGGCTTAATTGAGAGACTGTTTTTTTTATGGACTAAAATGCATTTAAGTCCGATGTAATGGGCCTTTTTGCCATTTGCCCTTAATAGATACATATCCCTTTGTAACATTCCACATACCAATCACAAAGACAATAAAACTACTGTTAATAGCAATCAAAGATATAAATTTCTATTTATCGCAACTCTTAAAGATTTACACGGGAAATAATTACCATTTAACTGCAACAAAGATAAAGGAAAAGTAGAAACCTTTGCATAGTCTTGCTTCATGGTCCATGGATATCCCTTGATGAATAACCAACCTCCTATTAATAGCAATAAAGGAAACAAAACTTCAAAATTAATAGACATGAAATATGCCAGAACAAGAAACATATGGATGTATTTGTCTTAACCAAAATCGTGAATGGATAGTCCTTAGTAACTTGTCACTATAGTGAAGACAAATATAATGGTTAGTGACGAAAACAATTGTAGCAAGAGTGAAATTACATTAATAAATTGACTTAAAAAAAGATATACCTGTGAAAAACCAAAAAAAGCAATCAAACGTTTATTTTCGATCATGCTATCTTCTATATAAGCAGAACAGAAAAAAAAAAAAAAAAAAAAAACCCATTTTGTAAATACCTGAAAATAACAATAAAAAAACCCAAAAACAGCTAAAAAATTCGGCAATCATAACCACATGTTTTTGTAAATTATATTTAATTAAAGAAAAATGCCAAAAAAGCAAAACCTTGTTGAACTGGAACCACTCATACTATGGCCGATCAAAGATTCCCTCGACCTCAGATTTTCCCTGGCATGGAGAACAGATTCCGGTCATTTTCCGGTGACCTGTTTCCTGATGATTTCGCCGCTGGTCCGACTACTAAACCACGTGATATACATAGATGAAATAAGGGAAGATCGGTCCCCATATTAACTTACATTAGGGAAATGAGTTATAATGGACCAAAATAATAATAATAATAATAATAAGGCAATTCAGACAATAGAAAATACAAAAGAAATTAAGTAAGGCAAACTAACTTATACCATAAAGTGATGAAGTGGAAGAAAGAGGATATGAAAAGAACATAATATTGAAAATGTCCACTTACCAGTACAATTACTTTCGCATTTCAGCAGAAATTATAATAGTGTCCTGAAAGTTGATAGCCAATAGTTTGCGAAAGTTATGCCGTCTGCACAACTGAAATTATAATAGTGCCCTGAAAGTTGATAGCCAATACTTTCACATTTCGATTAATTTTTTTTCTTCCAAATTCTATACATGCAAGCACACCATCAACGAAATTTACCATTTACTTCAAATTAAAAGCATACACGGAGTTGGTATAAGAAAGACTCAGCTATACCATGAACCGCTGTTGAGGCTCTCCGGCTGTGAGGCCGAGGCAATAAATCAAAAGTGGGAAAAGAAACAGGGACACCAATTTATGGTAAATAAACAAGCATCTTTATTTAATTCGAAACAGAGAGTGGAATCATTTATCATAGTAAATTGTAACGGCAGAAAAAGAATGCATCTGATCCGAAATGAATTGTAACATTAAATCACAGAAAGAACACTCACTCTCTGAAGAAGAAGTTATCAAATGATTGCCTCATCTGTTTGGTCATCATCTGCAAAACAAGTAAACATACTTCAATATGTTTCAAAAGGCTTAGGCGGCAGCTTTGATGGAGTGTACAAAGAACCCTGCATATTGCAAGAGGCTTAGCGATAAAAGTATGTGGGAAGAAATCTTACTGAATCAATGAAATGAGATTAAATTTGCAATGGATATGAGAACATGTAAATGCATGCACGAGCGAAACTGCACCTTCCCCATTCGACCAATCAAAGCAAATCCCCCTGTCAAAGTCTATAAGAACAAAAACACGGGTAGAAAAAAGTTATAAGATAAACACATGCTAATTCATAATAAAATCAAACTGATTGCGAAATTGGATTGCTTACAGTTAATAGACCGAGAGACAACTAAAGCGGGACATTGCCATCACCTGAGGAATAATCAGCACCGCCGACTCAGAATCGGTAAAACTCACTAAGCTAAAAGTACAATGAGACGACGTACGACGATAAAAGTACCAAAATAACCAAACTTGCATCTCAAACTTTTATATATGACATCATGTATTTGCAAGATATTTTCGTTACGATGAAAAAATAAAACAAAAAATTAAGGTGGCATCTAAAAACCAGATTGAAGTAACATACCTTATTTCCCGACCAAATACTTAATTATGTCATCTGATTCGTATATAACGACTCCCGTGTTTGGATCCACCTAAAGAAGAAGCAAACAAGAAGCTTTAACCTCGCAGAAATTGCACGATGAGTAAAAACAGAGGATGTTTTATTCGAACAACACGAGTGTCTAACCATGTAAGGGAACTGTTGTTTTCCACCCATTTGAGAAACCTTGGCCCGGAAATTCGGGCCGTTTCTTGGACAGGGATAATACAGCACATCAAGATCCAATACTGCAACAATTTCCCGAACCTGTAACAAAAACGAAACATCAGTCAGTGCCTGCAAAGGTCATAAAACCATAAGGCGCAATTACTGATATTGAAGATACCTTCCGACAAAATGGGCAGCTGAAGAAATTCCCGCATGTTCCACCAAAACCCACATAGAGAAAGAGCAACATATGCACTTAGCTTCTTTCATTCAAGCACTTACATATGAATATAATAGAAAACCCCGAATTTAACTGTAGTAACAATTAAATATTCAAAGCCCAAAAAAAAACAGTGGTAACAATGAAAAGGCAAAAACAGAACAACAGAGCTAATGAACATGAAACTCACCGTGAACGAGGATCGACCGAGGCGGCGTCGAAACAGGTGTCGGCGGCGGTGCGACTGTTGGCCGAGTTTTGAAGCAAATCACTGGAACGCCTGGCCAATCGCCGGAAAACAGGTTTAATCGAATCTAAATAAGAAATAAAAAAAACGGGTGAGAAAGAAAACATCGTATTCAAGGAATCTCAGTTATGAGGAATCATAGATAGAGATGAGAGGGTAAAAATTTACGCAGTGGTGGCAGAAGGAGGACAACGCATGAATGGAAGTAGGAGGAAAAGGGAACTGGCTGGGAAAAAGTGTTCCATTGGAACTTGAACCGTAGAAATCACACCCAAAAATTTAAGATATAGACGAGGAGGGTGGCGAGGCATGCTATTGGAGGGGAAAAGCGGCGCCATGTGATAGGGGCATCGAGTGAAGCGGCGGCGGACGCCGGTCGAAGCAGCGGTGGAGGTCAACAAATGTCGGTGGAGGTCAACAAATGTGGGCGGTACGTGACATCCAACTATTTTGCCTTTCAAATAAATCCAGCCCACTTATTTGCAAATAAGAAAAATCCTTCTATATATACCAAAATTACCCCAAATTCATTGAAACCCAATTTAACTCCAATTTCATCATTTACACCCCAATTTAGCCAAATTCCATCAATTAACCAATTTTAATCATAATTTCAATTTTCACACAATTTTAACCCTAATTCATATCAATTCCACCCATTATGCTCTAACTTTCTGAATATTACACATTGACCCCGGATTTAAACAAATATATCACATTAACCCTCCAAATTTTTTTTTCAGAAAATATTTTTTTTTTCTGAAATGTTTTTTTTCCGGCCAGATTCCGGCGTTGACTTTTTTTTTTTTTTGTGTTTTTTCTTAAATTTTTTTTTTAATTAATATTACTGTTTTGGCTGCTAAATTACTGTCTCCGGCAGTTATTTAACTGCCGGATAGGGATGGCAATTTGACCCGCCCCGACGAATCCCCGCCCCGCCCCGCCCCGAAATTTTCGGGTATTACCCGCCCCGAAAAAAAATGGGGCGGGTATGGGGATTGAAATTTTTTTTTGACCGGGTACGGGTACGGGGATGGGTTTGCCTATACCCGCCCCGTAGACCCGCCCCGTACCCGTCCCCGTACCCGCCCCGCATTATTTATATATATAATATATATTTTTTAATTATAATATTAAATATAAATAATTAAATATTAGTTAAAAATGGAGATTTTTAGGTTTCCATTATATAATTAAATATTAGTATTATAATTAAATAATGATTTATTTGTTAAAATAAACCTTTAAATTATAAGTAAAGTGCATATTTATTTATTAAAAAAAAAAGAAAAAAAATAGACGGGGATTTTTACCCGCCCCGATACCCGTGGGGATTTTATGGGGCGGGTATGGGGATTCTTTTAATACCCGTGGGGATTTTTGATGGGGATGGGGATGGGGATTTCCATTGCGGGGCGGGGATGGGGATTGCAAAACCCGCCCCATACCCGCCCCATTGCCATCCCTACTGCCGGAGACAGTAATTTAGCTGTTAATTAACTTTTATTTTTCGTCAAAAATATTTTAATTAATATTACTGTATTCATTGCTAAATTACTGTCTCCAGCAGTTATTTAACTGTTGGAGACAGTGGTTTAACTGTTAATTGACTTTTTTATTCTTAAAAAAAATATTTTTAATTAATATTATTGTATTTCATTGCTAAATTACTATCTCCAGCAGTTATTTAACTGTCGGAGACAGTAATTTAACTGTTAATTGACTTTTTTATCATTTTTTTTGTTAAAAAAAATATTTTAATTAATATTACTGCCTTATATGCTAAATTACTGTCTTCAACAGTAATTTAATTTTCTTAGACAATAATATTAATAATATTACTGTTCGGAAAAATAATATTCATAATATTACTGTCCGGAAAAATAATATTCATAATATTACTATCCTAAACAGTAATTTAGTAGCTAAAACAGTAATATTAATTAAAATATTTTTTTCTTCTAAGAAAAAAAAATTCAAAAAAAAAAAAAAAAAAAAAAGTCAACGCCAGAGACCGCCGGTCTCCGGCTGTCAACGCCGGAATCTGGCCGGAAAAAAAGTATTCCAGAAAAAAAATTATTTTCTGAAAAAAAAAGTTTTGGGGGTTAATGTGATATATTTGTTTAAATACGGGGTCAATGTGTAATATTAAGGAAGTTAGAGCATAATGGGTGGAATTGATAAGAATTATATTATTGAGGGTATTTTGGACTAAAGACATGGGAATGGGCTTAATTGAGAGACTGTTTTTTTTATGGACTAAAATGTATTTAAGTCTCATGTGATGGGCCTTTTTGCCATTCGCCCTAAAAAAAATCGAAATTCAAGCAGGCACGACACGGTCGAGCAGCTTGGAAAATAAATGGAAAAGAAAATATTTGGACACGCTGATTGAATGAAGGGATTGGAACGACAACGTTTCACTATTAATTGGGCCCAAAGAAAAGGGAAAAGAAATGGGCCTAAAGAAAAATGGCAGATCCCCATATATATATACTTAATGTATATTACTTGCACCAAAAGGCGAAATCCCTCGCCCCCAGGGCCCCCATCCCTTGGCCCGACAAGGATTGATGGAGGAATGTAAATCATGGTAACTCAACGGCCCGTTAAGGTAGCGGACCCGGACCTGGTGCCCACAAGGAACCAACTCATTGGAGTTGAAATTCCCACACTGCGGCTGCCAGGATTCGATCCTAGGACATTGCACCAACTTACCACCTTCGGAACCAATTGAGCTACACCCATACGGGCTTTTATTACAATACCAACTCCGGTCTGGTGGGGACACCTCAAAGCCACCCAACTCCGCCACAACATTTTGAGCCCCATTTACTTTCTCTCTCACACACACACACACACTGAATTCTTTCCACATTAATTTATATATATAGAGAGAGAAAGAGAGATTTGTTTGTTTGGTACATTAGTTATGATACATCACCTCTCTCTCTCTCTGTTTGCTTTCTCTCTCTATCTCTCTCTCTCTGCTTTATCTCTCTACAAATAAAAAGATATATTTGACTAAAAAAGTCCATGAGTCCTGTCCAGCCAAATTACAGTGCAGAGTTAGCTTGTAAAGAAGACCATTTCACATTTCTTTTATTAATTAATAAATTACAATAATAATAAATAAATAAATAATAGTATTACTTCTATTTAATTATTATCATCCTCAAACTGATTTCAAGAAACACACACTACACCTTTTGGAGTTTCTCTTGACTTTCCTCAATATTGTAATATTATTATTTATTTTTCTCCCCCTCATTTTATTTCTTTATTTATTAAATCTCCTCCAATTGGGGTTCTGCATTTATATTTATATATATAATATATACTAGTGAGGCCACACCGCGCCACGCGCGGTATATAATGCCCCGTATAGCTGATCTATAGCTGAATTAATTCGATTGTTTTATAAACGAGAACAATACTCTAGTATACATGAAACAGACAAAAACAACAAAATAAAAGCAGAGTTAAATGACAAGTAGCAAGTGCGGCATGGAACCAACTCCTGAAAACAAAAACATAATTATCAATAAAACAAACCAATCCTATAAGCATAGTAATTACAAAAACACATGTTTCGGGGCACTTCAAGGAGTTTGTAAAGAAATATACCCAAACACACTGCCGAAATCAAGGTACTTTTTTGAATGGCATCCTCATTAGCATTTTCAAGGATATCTGCTCAAGAGGAAATAAAAAGTTGAAAAAAAATGGAGCTGAAGGAAACAATGGCCCATATCAATGTGTGAATAAATAAAATTGAGAGTACAAATAAACATAACAAACATGCAATTTAACTTGCGGAAATAAGACAATCAAGATACATAACCAGCAGATATCATTGCATAATATATCCACATACATAAAACACAAATACAGTAACAATGAAAAAAACAAAAAGGAGAGAAATAAAGAAATATACCCATAAGTCATCTTGCGGAAGACGATTTGTAGTCACCTGCACACTTCGAAAACGTTATAAGAGAAATCGAACCTTGAAATCTCTCTTCTGATTCAAAATCAAAACTGGATTTAGAGAAAATCGAAAAAGCTTTTCAAAGAATGTCCAAAAAAAAAATCTAATTCAATGCATTAATAAAATAAAAAATCAAGTATTGAAACAGATATTTGCATGATTACCTGCTATAGACAGGATGAACATTCCATAATGGTTAGTTAACAAGTGTTATAATTGAATAAGGTCTAGACTCTAGTTTACTGTAATTCTCCCTTGTGGAAATTCTTTCACCAGGATTCACCCTGCCCATTATTGGTGTCATTATCCCCTGGAAAAAAAATCAGGTAAAAGTTTAATAATTCAAATACCACAAAATCTTGTGACAAAGATAATTATATTATATCAATACATACAACTATCATTTTTTTAAAATTTTACCTTTAATAACTACATCAGTTAGTTTGGTACCAAAGAAGAGACTAATATATCTTCCATTGTCTGTGTACCTTCCTCAACTAAGATGCAGTGGTTCTACTACAGCCCACTCGTTTTCATCCTGTATCATTAATTCATCATAAGGCACAAGATTAGGATTATTTTATATTTAGGACAACTACTATAACTGCAGATGGTTATTTAATCAAAACTTCGTAAGCATAACATTTCTTAAGATGTGTTTGAATCGAAAAGTTTCAATCGAGAGCTCAGAATGAGATTAGATACAAAATTCACTATAATGAATCAAACAAAGGCTCAGAATGAGACGTAATTCTAATAAATTCATAGTGAAATGATTCATCCAAACAAAACTATAGTAATATATTTGCTTATATAAAAACAAAAGACTTTAGTTAAATTTTCAGAAGAGAAATGGACATCTAACTGAAAAATAGAAATAGATTGTATTTAGTACTCTGCATTATATCGAATTTGCTGAAATACT